AACTGAATTTGCTATATTGGGTTAACCATTCATAACGTAACATTGAAGTTTCATAATTAATTAGATAAAACTCCTTTGATGGTAAAACTTGTCTTGAATTGAAGGTTGATATGTTTTTCATGACTAGAAAATATTGCCCTGAATATTGGACAAGATAATGAAGCTCAAAACTGAGATTTCAAACAAGTACGCTATTTGGGCCTTTCATAAATCCCTTAACTAAGGCTGAATTTAGCAAAATTCATATCTAGAGTTTTATAACTTCAAACATTACATTCTTGGGCTCCTTAAAAAGATAACTGAATCCTTGATAAAAACACATTATCAAGCTTGTAAAAACTCAACCTACTTTGTACAGATTATTAGTGCAACTAAACTTTTCAGCTGACTTCCTTTCTTGTTCCAGAATACAAAGAGTAACTGTAAAATTTCACCAATAATTCTGGAAAACTCATTTTTGAGTAAATCTTGACTTGTTTTAAAGTGAGTTTACTTTTTATAAAAATATTTATAAAATACTTTATTTGGCCTAACAAAAGCGTAACACTCATCAGAACTCATCATCTCTAAACTCCAGAGACTCACAGTTTCCAGATTTTGACTTTCTTTGAAAAATCATAGCTCGAGTCTTACTGAACCAATTTGAGTGATTCTGGGCTTATTTTAAATCTTGAATTGTCGGCTATATTATATAAAATTTCTACATTTTTCTTGAGTCTGGAGCTACTAAAACTGATGCACTCAAACGTGCTTGCCCAGTTTTCCTTCTGCACTTTGTTACGAACAATATTACCAACGTTTTTCTTTGACTAGTATCGACATGAATCCAGGATTTATACATGCATTAACACTAAAAACTAGCTAACATATACACATAAAACATTTCAGGATCATCACAAACATAGCATGTAAGCTCTGGCCGAAATTACATCTATGAAGAGTAACATAAAAATTTTCACACATGCTCAATCTTCAACTACCTTGTCTTTGACTTTGCTAGAAATTGGACCTAGCATGCTGGATAATGTTTTGGGGAGTGTAATCTCAGTAGTAAACTTATACTTTACGGGATATATAAAAATTTACCCAAAATATATTAACATGCAAACATCAAAACAACCATCAAACAAGCAATCTAGCAAGTGGCAAATTAAACTTCACTTCTTCACTTCGGAACAACATGCAATCATATGGCTTGAAGGAGTATTTCGCTCAGACTTTCCAACAACAAGAACATGGAATAAACTCAAGAACATATTAATATATTCAAGTAAACTAATCATATATCAAGCAAAGTATAAGCTGCTACCTTAACTCCTAGCTAGAACAATAAACACTTAGTCTTCTTGCTCTTGAGCACTGATGACCCAAAGTCCCTCTTCTTTTCCTCTCCTCTCCCTATTCTCTTCCTCTCTCTTTCTTTCGGTTTTGGAGACCTGCCACTGAGCTCTCAAAATGCTGATCACTACCTCTTAAATAGAGGAAGAGAAGTAATCCTCGTCACCCTCTAATCTCCCCACAAATTGACACCTAATACAGTATTTGCCACCTCTAATTCATGACTTGACACCTAATCTTCCTTTTTAAAAGAAATAATCTAACTAAATAAATGAAGAGGAAGGAAGTGGAGTAGACTTATTCAAGACAAGGTGATGATAATATTAAAGGCATATAATATTTTAGAAAATGAGGGACATGAGTAATTAGTGGGAGTAATGAGAAATTGCCACCTACTTATTTTAATTGCCACACTTAATCAAAATTTGACACTTGGAATTTACAAATTAAATTGATTGCTTGATTGATTTAAATGGAAGGAAGACATGAGGAGGTGATGATTATAGTGTGTTGTAGTTAATTAAAATCTTCTCCCTTTGTTACGTATATATATCTGACTGGAGATTAAAGAAAATAAATAGTTTAACAAGTAAAATTATAATTAAGAGGGAGTTATTAAGACTAATAACATTACAAAAGCAATTGATATGTACTTATCCAACCTAATTAATATTTTAATCGTCTTCTTAATCTAATAATACCTATAGATAACTAAGGTTAATTAATGTTTTACATTGTTGCATACAAATTATCAATTAAGAACTCTAGGTAACTTAGATAGTAAATTTTAATGTAGACAAGCTCCCAAATTCTTTTCTTATTTTTATCTGTTTTTTCTTAAGGTAATTGTACAATTTAAATACATATTCCAATAGATCTTATGATCACCTATCTAAAGAATTTCGAATCATTTTTTTTATCTCTCATCAAATTGCCTAATAATTCATGTTAAAGTAAAAAGTTAAATCTTGCTGTAAAATATTTTCCTATCAAATTGTCTCAGACTTCTAACTTTATTTTCTTGACTTCTTTCCTTTTCAATTGCTTGGATTCTTCCGGCTTTTCTTTCAAGGTCATTTTATAGCTTGATACCTCCTAAAAGCCTCTATATAATCACCAGGCATATAAGTGCAAAATCTGGGATGTTATATCTTTTATGTGTTAACTTGTTAAATGCATACATAATTATATATGTATATCTCTCAGCCTGTATGTATCTTGATATTTTAAAATTTGTTGTACTATATTATACGGCACCTCGTATGTATGTATGTATGTATAGATGGATGGATGGATGCATGCATGCATCCATTATATGTAATTCATAGATAGTAACTAAAGGGATCAATTACAACTAGGTTTTAATGTAGTTTATTTCAGTTGTCAATGGATTTTGTAGTAATTAATTTTCTTGTTTGGAATTTCAATGTAATTCTCCCATAACTAAACTCATCAATACTATTGTTATGATTACAAGTTTAAAGGAAGAGCCAATCCTAAAAGACTAATTTATTATGTAGAAGGGTTTCTCATACTTGTAAACCTTACTCTCCACTTGTGAGGCTCCATGATATGAGAGTCATGACAATGCCACTTTGTCAAGAGCTGACGTCTTTAGCAGCTCTACTTCCTAGCACTTCACTTGACTTCTTACCGGTCAAAACCCTCCGTAGATAGCCCCTTTCATGGCACTGGCCTCATGATCACAAGCTCAAATGAAAAGCCTTTCCTAAAAGATTAACTTGTTTGGATGGGACGGCTCTTTGAACTTATAAGCCTCACTCAACTTTGGAGGCCTCCCAATATGAGACTAATGACAACTGCTCATTTAGTGCATGCGCATGTTGTGTATATATGTCAATTACAGGTAACAAAATATATAAATGAGAGAATGATAGAGAGGTCCCGAAAGGATCAGTTAGTTCAAGTTAGATCCCAAATGCCAAATTTTAAGAATTTGCAACTCAATTTTTTAATTTTGCAACTCTGATATGATGAATTTGCAACTTATATGCCAACTTTTAACAAGGAAAATAGATATTTTTTATTCTTTAACTATGTTAAAATTTGAAAAATCACTTGCAAATTTATTACAATGCACTTGCAAAATTGAGATATTGAGTTGTAAAATTTTAGAATTTGGTATTTGGGTCCTAACTCGAATTAAAAGGACTTCTTTGTCATTCTCCCTATATAAATTAAACAATGAGGATCGAGAAGTAGAAGAAGACGATGCTCATAAGAGAAAGAACTCAAGGAAGACGAGACCTAGTTCTTCGACAACTTCCACATAACTCTAATTTCCAACTATATATATCCTTAATTACCCATTTGATTAAGCATTAGGAAATTTGAACATTGTCTTTTGGGTTTTAGGAAGAGGAAAGGAGACAAAAAAGTTTGGGTGGTTTATATCTTTTTTTTTTTTGGCACTTTGCTCGGTCACTGAACAAGAAAAGGCATATGGAAGCGTTTCTTTTCGATTTGCTGGAACGTTTCTAAAAGCATTTCACATGCAGGCCTTTCGGCGTGTGAGAGAACGAGACTAAAATTCTTGCAACGCAAACAACTTGCACTTAGGTAGATCATTATAATAACTAATTTACTTTCGTATATATTTAATTTAAATATATAAATTTTTTTATATTTTTTATTATTTATTAAACTTTACAATTGAAAATTTGATTTATTTTTATTCTGTTCTTTTAATATAAAAATAACAAAAAAAAGATAATGCGCGCACACATAAATTGTTAAGAATCAAAGTGTTGGTCAAGCCAACTGGTTAGCTATTCATTTAACGATGAAAAATATTTTAAATAATATTTTATAGTTTTGGGAAAAAAATCTTTCTTGAGACATTGTCTTTATTGGAGTATCAGGGAACTATGAATAATTGACTATAATTATGGAAGAAGTTAGCAGTTGGGCTAAGAATGGAAAAAAGATTAATCATTTAGAAACATAAAACTTTACTACAAAAAAGATTTACAAGAATGTTTATTTTTTTCCCTCATGGGAGCGATTTGAAAGTGCTCCGGTAGGGTCACTATATGAGAATGCTTTTAAGAGAAGTACTCTAGGCTCCCTCAACAGGAGTGCTCCATTATTGAAGCGCTACTCCCCTAAATAAGTGCTTCCATGAGCTTCACATTGATATATAGCAGCATTTTTCTCTATAAATGCTCCTAAAGTGGTGCTACTGTAATTTTTTTTCTTTTTTTTTTTTGTAATAAGCTTCAAGTATAAAAAGATGAAAGATTGAATATGAAGAATAAAGAACAAAATAGACCCATTATCCTTGCGAGCTTAATTATATGCTTTCTGAAATATTTTAATTAATCATGAGAATATCAGTGCTTAAATGTTTCGCTATCTAGCTTATTGAGGGCACTTTTCTTTGGAACTACTTTAACATTTGTTGTATTTGTTTGGGGAATAGCTATAAAATAAAAATGGTTAAGATTCATTTTTATTCCTAAACTATTTTCACAGGAACACTCAGTGTTTTAAACTTCTTGCCATAGTAGTTTTGCCTTTAAAGTAATTAAATCATAGTAATGTTGCCCTAACATTAAATAGCCAAACAGTTATTCAATAGAGACTAAATTGGTATTTATATATAAGTTTATATACAGAGAAGGAGGGGGGATACAAATAAATCCACAAATATATTTTATATAGTAAACTCTTACTGCTCAATTGAAGTATACATACAACACCAATTAATTAATATTTCCAAAAGTAAATCAAAAGACTATGTTACTATCACAAATCTGAATTCAGCCTCTCTCCTAATTTGTTCTGTTTTGCCCTATCCCAATACCGCAAGGTATTATTAGTACTGTAATACCTTAAGCGAATCATGGGATTAAGCATATAGTGCAGAACACAATAAATCGATCAACAGAGAAGTTGAAGCTCCATAAATAATCCACATCTATTCCTGATAAGTCAATAAAGTCAATGAAAGAAGTGATAATGCTTCTTTCCATGAGCCTCTTCATATTTCTTCTTTGCTTCTTTCTTCTCGTGATGCTCATGAAACGCATAGCCACCAGCTCCAACAGCAACAGCTGCTGCAATCTCCTCTTTGATCTTGTGACTGTGTGCGTGTTCTGGATCTTTCTTCGCCGCCTTCTTCTCATGCTGCACAAATAGTTTAATTGTTTCCTCAAATTATTAAACATGATTATGAACAAAGATTATTACTTGCAGATTAATCTGTGTTGAAAGATATATACAGTTATTTACCAAAGCGAAGGCACCAGCAGTAACAGCTCCTAGCTTTCCAAGACGTTCCTTATGCTTGTGGTGTTTCTCTTCCTTTTTGTAATCAATCTCACCGGCCGGATTTTCTTTGTGGCGGTGGTTATTGTGATGGTGGTGGTGGTGGTGATGACCGTCGGACATGGTGGTTTGTGAATAAGATGTGATTGGTTTTCTTTGGGCCTTCAATACGATGATATGTGTTTCCTGGTTTGGGTGTGGAGGGTTTATGTGGGAAGCTAAGCTATTTATAATTCTCTCTTTGTTGATGATTTCTTATGGATTAAGTCATCATTATTGATAGTTATTTGTAAGGCTGTGTGAAATAATAAAATTGTCAGAATAGACGCACCAAAAAACTTCTTGATTAAAACAAGCCGTGTGTTTTGAAAATGAATTCTCAAAATTTAAGTATCTCATGATTATTTTATCAGAGATTTTACATTATTATCAATCTTATTATATGTACATAAAGTATGCTCCATCCACCTCATATGAACCATTTTATAGTTTGAAACAGTCAATCTGAGAGGAGAGGGACGCGGAAAATAGTGATTGGAACTGCAAAATGGTGACGAAGTTCTAGAAGAGAAGAAGCGACTATGCTGAAGAAAACAAAAACACGTCACGCGCTAATTGAGAAGAAAAAGCGCGTGTACATATATATCCTTCAACATCGCACGCATTATAAAAATCAATTTTCGCCTGGTGATAGATTTAGAAACTTAGTCTATGGGGCGGCACACGCATATATCTAGAGAGAGAGAGAGCTATATATTGGGAGGACCCACCAAATTCCAGAATATTCAAAAAGAGAAAAAGACTAATAATCTTTTTTTTAATCAAAAGGCAAATTATTGTAATCAAAGAATGAAAATATTATTAAATATTTAGAAACAACAGCGCAAATGGCAAACCACTGCAACATTTTTATTTTTGGGCATTTAGCTAGCAATCCTTCACCTTACAATACTTTTAAAAGAGACGCCTAATGTGTGAATACATAATATTTTTTACATTTTACTATTGATCTTCATTTTAAGTAACAATATACGAAAACCGTTCACTAAAATGAAATAGGCAATTATTTTCAACTGTTGAATTAAAATTTTTAAATAAGAAATATAAAAATTGTTGTCTACAAATTATTTTTATTGTAGTATTTGAAAATTGTTTTCTATTTTAATAGGCAACATAAAAATAAACATTACCTTTAAATGTTCCTTTTTACAATATTTAAGACATTTGTCTATTGTTTTTTATTCATAAAAGAACAATTCACCTTCATCTTTTGATAATTTTTATATATTTTATTTATTTATTTATTAGACAAATTCAAAAATTATTTTACAAACTATTTTTATACATAATATTTTGTATTTAACTACATGATAGTGGCGTTGGAAGAGTGGCTAGAGTTGTTTCTTGCTTTCAAGAGGTGTAAGGGTAGGGTGTTGCCTAAGAGTTTAAAAAATTGTTGCCTTAGAGAATAGTTAACGTTGAAATATATGTGTAACAATTAAAAAATGTCATCTAAAATTATGGGCAACAATATCCATAGCTATAACAAAATTTTTGAAATGTTGTTATAAAACAAAAGTTCAAAGTAAAACTTGAATGAGTAGCAAATAGTTTCAAATGAGACCAAGAAAAAATTAACCTAGCTATCCCCAATTCACTCCCTAGGATTCAATTTGACTTATTGATATCTTTCAAATCACTAAAGTAGACCTGCTGTCACGAGATCATTAATTCCAATATATTGACTCATTATTATTATATGGTCTAATTAAACACTAACTTTCGTAGTGATGATTACGAGGGCTTGGCATATATATTTCTCATAATAACAAATATTTTAAGCATGCAATTTCCCATTATAAATCGCAAGGCCATATGGCCTATATCTTGAAGCTCTTACGTTTAGGTCTCTTTAGAACACCCTAGGTATCACTAGTTCATTAATGAGTTCAAGCTAATTCTAGAAAAGAAAAAATTAGACACATATAGTTTGTGACATCTCCAAAAATTTACCATGCACTACTTGGCCAATGTTTATTATGGTAATAGATAATTCAACATGCAAAAGGACTATCATGATAAAAAAGAATGAAACCTATTTCACAATTACCAATCATGATAGAAAATGAAAAAACTTAATAATTGAACATTTGCTATGGTTGAAAAGAAAATGATAACCTCTAGAATTTCATGTCATTTGAGCACATATTTCTTAGATTCTAATATATTTTATCTCAATGGTATGTATTTTAATTGCCCAAACTAAAAAAAAAAGTGCATCTTGCTTTGGGTTTGCACATACTTGGCTTTAATTTGATATCTTTGGGCTTATTTTATGTTATTTTAGTTTAAGGTTTGGTGGAAAATATTTCTAGACATTTGATGATGCTTTTAGAAGGCTTTTGGATGAAGAAATTTGTAACATCCTCGTTTTTAACTCCCTAATTTATTAAGTTTAATTAGAAAAAATAAGTAAATTATAGTGGTATATGGCCTGGGAGATCTAATAATCATATTTTATTGTATTTTAGCCCTAATTGTGGGTCTGGCATCAAGTCAGACCACCCGGGCATCGAAAGGAGAAGAAAATGAAGGGTGAGTATTGTTGTGCCACACGCCATGGCATGGAGTGCATTTGCCACATTACACAAAAACTTCAAATGTGAGAATGGGGACCTCTCTATGTCATGTGTCGTAATGCATGGTCATTTTTTGCATTTATCAATTGCGAAATTGAGATAGAAATAGAGAGGAGAGAAAGGAGAAAATGAAGAGGCATGCCAAGCTCTACTAAGGTTTGTTCTTGGATGACATGAGGAGTGTTTTGGAAGCTACAAACACCCAAGGTAAGTATCATACCTCTTAATCTCCCATTTTCTTCCACATTATGAGGTTTATGGTTAGGATTTGATAGTGAAAGATGATTTTGATTCATATAGGTTATGGGCCTGAATCTATTAATCCAAATAGAGTTAATGGGAGTAGATTAAAGTATTTAAATCTCGTATTAATAACTTTGGTGGTTGCTGGATGGTGAGTTCCATTAATGTCTGAAAATGGACATTAAATCTATCATTATTATGGTTGTTGAGATATTAATAGAAATGAGGGTATTCAATGAAGCTATATAATGCTAAAGATAGTTAACAAACTCAATAGATAGGCTCAACTCATGTAAAGTGGGTATTGAGCAATTTAGAAGTGGAGAAATGAGAGTTGAATGCTTGAGTTTGGCATTGTTAATGGAGATTAACTTGGTAAATTATAAATTGAGCTCTTGGACACCTAATTGTCTTGGAAATTCAAGCTTGGAAGCTATTATGTTGAGGGGTAAACCTTTAATCTTTCAAAGGTTTGAGGTAACCGGGAGAACCCTATTTTAGGTAGTTATTTATTAATTGTAATATGAGGTGAATTATGTTTTAAACATGCAAATTGTGAATGGTGTAACATGTAATGAAATTTGGTAAATATATAATTTCTTTTATATGCATGAAACATGTGAAAAATGCTTGTGAAATGATTGACATCTTATAATGTGTTTTGAATGAATAGTTGATAATGGACTTGATAAAGATGAGTAATTGAGATTGAAAAGGATGTGTTTATGTGATATAAAGGGAAATGAAACTTGATGCTCAATTGGGTAGCACACGGTCGTGAGTCTAGCATGATTATTGTGATAATGAATAAATAAAAATGTGAAAATAAATGAGCATCGTTTATGGCATGATCAGTAGGCAGGAGTTTACTTAGGGATTAAGAGTAGAGGAAAATCTATATGGTATTTAGGTTGCCCTTCGGTGTATGGGGGTATAGCCTTGTCTTATAGTTTGTCGAGAGACTATCCTATAGTTTGTTAAAGGACTAGAACTTAGTTTTTTTCACCAGTTCAATGAGGAGAATAGCCTAGAGTATAAGATATTCTAGCAATTCGAGAGTGGGAAAAACCGTGGTTTGAGAGTGATATAACATCCTAAGTTTTTAAGTTAGGAATTAGCAATATTTCTAAGGGTATTTTGGTCAATTTAGATAGATTAGTGACTAATGATGTTATTGGGAGACTAATATAATTTTTAGATCCTTGAATAACCTTAAAAGAGGGCTAGGTTAGTGTTTGAGTGGGCCATAGCATGGAAGGGGGTTTAAATTTAGGTGGGACTCTTTGTGCCATACGCCGTATAGGCGTGTTAATGCATCATGGCGCACATGCAAAAATCAGCAATTATTAGACGTAAAAAACAGATAAAAAACAAAACAGAGAAAGAAGGAAAATGAGAGAACAATGGAGAAGAGCTTGTGTTTTGCTAGGGTACGATCCTTAGACCATTTTGGAAGTATTTGGAGTTTAAATCATCATTGGGTAAGTTCCACATTCCCTCTTCTCCTCTTTATGCAAAAATTTTTGACTTTTAGGGCAATAGGGGCTTTGATCTCAGTTCCTTTAAGTTTAGACCGAATCTATTAGCTTATTTAAGGTCTTAGGGAGTTAAATCAAGCCCCTAACCTTAGGTTTATAAGTTTTATGGTGATTTTGAATTTTTCTTGAGGGTTTGGACGAACCCTAGGCATAGTCTAGAGGTTTTACAATAATGTGAGGAATTGGATGAGGATTTTAGTATGTTGGGATGTTTAATAGGATGGTTAGAGTGTTTGGAAATGGTTGGTTTTGTTAGATAAAGAATTTGAGTGTTATGGGCACTTGGAAGCCAGTAAATTGGGAGTTTATTTAGAGTAATAATTGACGATTGTCACTTAATTGTGTAGATTGAGTATTGCTTGAGTTACCTTGTGCATATAGAATGTGTGGGGCTAATGTTAAGCTACGGTAACCCTTTTGTGTGATAAAGGATTGAGGTAACAAAATAATTTACACTATTTAGTTATATTGCTTAATTGTTTGAGTAGATATGTTAATTTGAATTTGAGATTAGATAACCTTGCATATTGCGAAATGTGATCTTTGTGCATGCTAAACGATTTGCAATAATTGAAATGATGAAATTTTTATATGGACTGATTGAGGAATTTAAAATGTATATGTTATATATATGATGAGTGTGAGCATAATCATGTTAGGAGGTGGGAGTTCACCTATAGGAAGGAGTAGTGAAAGTCCATATGGTATGTATTTTTTTAGTATCTAGTGACACATGGTGTTAGAGATTTTCTCCTTAGTATCTAAGCGAG